ATAAATCATCCTTAGCCACTCCAAATTTCACTTATTTCATCGAAAACACACTGACTCATCACCAATTACTATGGTACTTGGAACAGTACTCAAGCTTGCATTTCACCGGCAAACCAAGCATCATCCAAGCCCTAGCACCACCAGAAGTCAAATTCACAAACCTCAAATCGGAGCAAAACAATTCAAGATCATACTTCTCCCTCCAAAACCCACCTCGTACACCATACCTAATCCAAGTCCTCGGCATTACATGGACCACAAGACCGTCCATAGAAAATGGAGTACGGACTATTGTTACACTGATTGGTTCCTGAGAAAATGGTGGCATACCAGCTGAGAAAATCATGTTACTGTAGGAGATGGTTGCATGGAAGGGACCATATTCAACGAGAACAGAATTGCTAGGGTTTTTCACAGTGAAGACTATGTCTGAGTTGGGAGATGTTGAAGGGAGCCGTGGAAGAGGATGGGTTGATTTGGAAGATGGGTTAGAAGGAGGCTAAGATGACAGCAATCAAGGTGATGAGGATGACCTACACGATGATGGCTAATGCTACAAAGAACCATAGAATTGCCAGCAACAGGCGGCAGATGGCCAGAAGCAGTTGTAGTGGCCGCGTAAGGTGGCGGCAGGGGCCGCAGTTGGGGCGGTAGGGTTGGTGGTGAAGTCCGAATACATGGTGGTGGGATTCAAATACAGAAGATTGTTATATTGTGAGGAGTTGTGAGGGCTTTGAGTCTGTGTGTGTGTCTGTTTATATGCTCCTGTTATTGTTACTTTGTGAGTTGTGGCTATGAACAAAGTCCAGAATTCACGTACTCTTGTCAACATAGGCTAAAATAGCTAATAAGACAAAATGTCACATCAAAACCATAATCATTTCACTTTTTCTCTCACAAACATCATATATCCAACTACAAAAAAATCCTACCCCCTTCCCAAACACAAATATTTTAACCTACTTAAATAGCAAAACTTCTCAAACGAGGCCAATGTTTAGAAACAAGAATGTGTCAAGAAAGATGCATTTTAGCCAACTTTATGTGTACAAATTCAACCCTATAGTTTTTTTTTTAAATGTTTTTTTCACTATCATTCGAGTTTATGCCTTAGTTGCATGAAGCGGGAGCGGGAGCGGGGGTGGGAGCGAGGAATCGTGAGCCGATAGAAGTTTCTTAGGTTGGGAGCGTCTCGGGGAGCGGTAATATATATATATATATATTTTTTTTAATGCACATTAGAAGTTTTTTTATAAATATTTTTATTTTAATATATATTAATTATTTTATTTATTTATTATATATCTTAAATAATGTATTATTGTTAATTTATTTTTTTATTTTTAATTGATATATATTATAAATAAAAAATTATAATAAATAAGGAATAATAAATTATGTTAAAATAAATAAAAAGAAAAATTAGATATTTTATTTTATAATTTTTTTATTATATATGGTTTAATTAGATTTCTTTTAAATAATTGGATGATTTATTTTATTTATTATATGTTAAAAAGTTAAGAAATAATAATTTACAAAAATTATTATTATATATGATATTTTAAGAAATAATAATTAAATATTTTATTATATATGATAAAAATTATAATTTATAAATTTTATTACATATATAATATATGATAAATTATATTTATTATATATATTATATATGATCAATTAAATAGAGACAGAGAGAGGGAGAGAACAACGAACAGAAATGAAGAGGGAGAGAAACAGAGACGGAGAGAGAGAGAGAGAGAGAGAAGCACAGAACAAAGACAGAGAGAGAGACGAAGACGATCGAGAGAGTGACAAAGATGATCGAAGTCCTCAGAGACGAAGACGATCGTGATCGATAGAGAGAGAAGAGAGTGACGAAGGCAATCAAAGCCCTAATCTCAACACTGGTCCACTGTAAGTTCTCTCAATAACCCTTATTCTTTCTCCTCTCATGTCGACGTCGAAGGCTAGGGTTTCTCTCTCTCTCTCTCTCTCTCTCTCTCTCTCCCCTTTACGATCCCATCTTGGACTGAATTGTGTTTCTCTCTCCACAGAAACACGATTCTTACACGTTTTTTTCTAGGAATCGCGAAATCGCGATTCTTACTCAGAATCACCACCTAGTTGCACGATTCCTGCAACTAAGATTTATGCAATCAGTAACATTAGAAACATTAACAATTATAACAATCAAGACAATATTTGCACATAAACACAGAAAGACACAAATATTTGCACATAAACACAAAAAGACACAAATATTTGCACATAAACACAAAAAATAAAAAGGTTCAAACAATAGTGATGAGACTATGTAGAAAATGCATTCTACAAGGAAGTTTCATAGTTCTTATGAGGTAAAACCTATGTTACATGGACTCTTCAAATTAAATCAAATACCCGTGTCGGACACCCGACACTCGGACAAGGGTATGGGATATGTGTCGGATACTTTTCAACGGATACTTCTTATATAATTGTATATAACACTATTATTATATGTATATATTGTTATATAATTGCTATAAATGTCATTTTGACACTATAAGTTAAATATAATACCATTTTATCTCACATATTAGATTAAAAATATAAAAATATGACCTTTTTTTGCCAAGTCCGCGTATCCTTAAATTTATGATTTGATGAGTCCGACCTCTAGATACATACCCGCACCCGACACCCGTACCCGAGTCCATGTAACATAGGGTAAAACCTTGCATTGTAAGACAAGTAAATAAAGGAAATCTAATTCCTAATTTGGGACTCAAGAAATTCTACAACCTGACAAAAGGACCTTCATTCTCTTGTAAATAGGCCCCTAGTTTCAAGGCAATGAAGGACCTTCATTCTCTTCACATGATCAATGAAGTAAAAGAACATATTGTCACCAACCACATGCCTTTTCCCAAAATTAACCATTTAAAGTGAACACACTTAAGTTTCAAGAAAGCTACAATTGTCTCAAAAATACTTAGAAAATATGAGTAAGAAGAACTCCGAAAAATATGAGGAAGAAGGAATATATTTCTGTTATATTCAAAACTTCTTATTTTACAAGACCAAATGACACTCCTTATATAGGAGATATTACAAACATCATTATAACCCATTATATGCCACTTACATATTATATATTACCACTATCTACCACTATCATATTATATACATGCCACTATCTACCACCAACACCACTATCATATTCTATACATGCCACTATCTACCACCAACACCACTATCATATTGTATGCATTAACACAAATTTCCAGCAAAAATCATTCTACGATGTGTTGGGGGATTTGGAAGGGAATTTAAAAAGGAAAAGAGAAAAGATAAGTGAAATATGAATAAAATATATCTACATGTCACCTAGTTTTACATACTTTTTTTCTTTTCCTTTTCAAATCATTTCTCAAATCTCCTAACCAAACACAACATTACGATTTAAAACTTTTGGGCATGGTGGTGATAACATTGCACTAGTCAGGACGGTTCACACAACAAAATGTAGTGATTTTCTCTTCCCCCTAAAAATATTGCTTCAAAAAAAAAATTCATTTTCCCAAAAATAAATAAAAATAAATAAAAATTCATGGTGCCAAATATAATTGCTTTTTGTGTTCAAAAATAAAATATATAATTGTCTTTCACGAAAGTTCAAAGAAACAGAGAGTGAGTAGAAAGAATAATTGCAGGACTTTCTGATCACACAGGAACATGCATGACAATTGCTCATTTTTGTTTATGAATTATGTATGAATTGAATCACAAAACCGAACACAATACAAGTATAACAAAAATATATCTATTTATAAATCAGTTTCTAATTTGATTCATATAATAATAAAGAGAAACATCAACAAATCTACCGAGAATAAGACCCACACATAAATGGAACTGAGGACCATTTAACAAGTTAGATGGAAAATAAGATTGATTCATAAGATACGGCAATTGCATCTGTTATGTGTTTTAACGGTTAAGGCTTAGATGATAATCACTTAAGGCTCTGTGCGCTTAAATTGTAAATAAAATTTTTGGACGCAAAGAGGGTTGGTTTTCTGATGTTCACAGGTGTCATGGCCGTGAATCCAGACTTAACTAACAGTAAATAAAATGGGATATTATCAAAAACTCTTTAGCACCATTTTTTTTGAAACAATAATCCATGAATAAAAAGATTTACATTTCATATATATTATCTATAGACTATAATTATATAGGATAAATTACAAATGCACCCCCACAGGTTTTTACCCCTGAAAATTACATCCTGCCTCTTAAAGTTTTTAATTTCATAACAAATAGCATTTTTATTAATAAATCAAGCCAATTAACAATTTTTAATAATATCATAAATTTATTTCAATTAATAATTTAAGCAATTTTATTATTGTATATGAAAGCAATTGAGAATTTCATTTTTTCAATTAATTCTATTAAATAAAAAATTATGGCGAGGGAGTATTTGAAATTTTCCAAACCACGAGATAATTCACGTTTTAAGTAAACTTCAGGAATGTATTTGTAATTTACCCTCATATAAAAGAACAAATATAGAATTCAAGTTGTAAAAACCCCTACCCAAAACCTTACTGAATAATAATAATAAATACATAAAAAGGCCATCAATACTAGTAAAAAAAACCGTGTATAAACATATTCCATTAAATAAAACCCAAGTAATATTGGCACCGCATGTGAAGGTGTGTTGCTGAGACTCAACTCTAGCACACCAAAACAGCACTAGTAAATAATACCAAATATTATTGATGACGATGATACCATTTCAGTTTCAATTAGAGAAGAAAAAAAAACACAACTAAGAATACAACTTTGCTACAGACACCAATCTACCAAATATGTCATCAACAAGACACAAGTGTACAGCCCCACACACGTGAAGCAAAATTTCTGACCAATGATGACAGTCATTTTCAAGGAATAACGGACTGAAAAATAAAGAACATGACACTGCAGGATCAATAAACTGTTCATACGATTATAAGGGCATATAATGCAACTTTCATCAATTCAAATAAGAACCATGTAATCAGAATTCAGAAAGTGTCATCTATTTAAACAAGAGAAATCTGGAGATCAATGACAAATACAACACCACCAGTTGCACCAATAACAAGGTAGCAGCACAACTAGATATATATATATATGACTATTTACGTACGCAAAAACAGTCACTGTGCATATAGCACCACCTATTTTTCTTTTATTTTCCTCTCCCAGTAACCAGTGGACAGAGTTATAGACATGTAACACCACTGTAGTAAAAAAACTCACAAAAACGAGAGCTTCCCACACCAAGGGTATAACGTACACAGTAATGAAAGAAAAGGCCAATATACCTCGTGAACTTGATAGAGTTGATTTTTTCTTTCGTTATTCCTTTTTTCTCCCTTGGTGGCATCATAGAGCCAGAAATCTACCGCCTAGGTTCATTTAAGGTCTTCCCCTCAAAAAATTCACCAAGCATTCGGTCAAGATCCTCTGCCGTGAATCTGATGTACTTCATGGGGTTCTTACCACTCTCAACCAGAGGCCTGTGACAGATAAAATAAAATTAAAAAATATATATTAGTTATCTCAAAATTGTTTCATAATCTCATGAAGGGCGTGAAATATAAGAATGCACACCCAAAGCGTTTGATGAAATTTCTGTATGCTGGCAACAAGACTTCAGCAACTGCAAGCCTCAGAGATTCTCGCAACTCAGTGTCAGGAACCGTCCATTGAGACTGCCTTTGATGAAGCTCCTCAAACTGAATATTAAACATCTTCAACCTGATAGCACAAATTTAGTTATCTAAGATTTCTGGAACAATTATACAAGGAAAACAAGCATAAAGAATAATTTAGGAAGGATTCAAAACATAATAATGACCTATCCTTCACTATTGCTCTTGAAACTCCACTACTATTTCCTCCATCAGCACCACCAACTGAACTACCACCCCCGGATGAGGACAGGCCTTGTATGGTGAGGCACTGCAGGATCTGCAGAAAAGAAAGGACCCGAAATCATGTTTAGAATGATCAAATAATTACTTTTGAAACATCAACCATACACCACCATATGGAGAATCATGGATCTCTGGATGAAATAAGATTAAATTTCAAGCACCAACAGTAAAACTAAAAATCAAAAATAAATTATATTTTGGGGCACGCATAGGGTTGACAACAAGACCTTTGCCCAAGCAATCCTCTTATATTGATTTGCATGTTGCTGCACAATCCTCCTGTGTCTTTGGACCCAGTCATCCCCTAACAAATCCTTTGCTTCAGACCTAAAAACCAGAATAATTTAAGCATTTAACGACATTGCGCATACTATAGAAGCTTGGAATTGTTTTAACAAACCATCTGAAACAACACAAATGTACGACAAACAACAAACCTGCGTACAGATCTGACCATATAGTGAATATTGTTCATAAGAAACAAGTTAGTCAGAGCAGGATCCTTATACTGCTTTGATTTCCCATCCAAATTGGTTTGAAGAGCCTGCATTATTCGCATTGTCACGGAAGCCAACTGAGAATTTGTTTCCTCTCCACTCTCGAATTCTTGAAAAAGTTGCTTCAACGTTGATTGATAGCTGAACATAGTTAAAAATCACAAGACAAATTAACAAAGACAATGCACAGATACTGAAGGAAAAGTTACTGGGTATGTGTACAAATAAACTCAAAACATTCAATAAAGGAAAAATATTCAAATCATTTGTAATGACCTAAATAGAGTCATTCATACACAAAAAAGTATTTAAAGATGAAACTGTAAGCTAAACAAACCAAAATAATGATAATTTAGTCAAATGACATGCTCTAATAGAAACTTTTATGACCTTAATCACAAAATCAATAACGGATGAAATTGTAAGTTGACATTACCAAAAAGTATGGAATTGAATATCCAAAACATAGTTAATTAGACTTACTCAAATAAAAACTTCACGTAGTTAATGACATAGCTAGTCAAAGGATGGACGGTTCCATCCAACACGGCAGTTTTTGTTGCATCCTTTTCAACTGCTTCTTCAAAATCACCAAAGGTCTCTTGGGCTGTCTGGGCAAGCCGCTTCGTTAAACCCAATGCAGATTCCCTAATTTCACTACAAGCTTTGCTTTGGAAAAGTGTTTCAATCTGCAAAGAATCCAGCTTGAATATGAGTATAATCTGTTTATACATAACGAGTTGTATGATATGCACCAGTTGCCGTCTAACACAAAGTTTTAACTAGAATGGACAATTCTCTAATTAAGATTTCTTCTTTGAAGTACTTGTTGATACAAAAATATATGATAGCTCGATAATAATCAGCAAATAGCTCGATAATAATCAGCAAACTATCCACCATATATATATTAAATCAGAGCTTATAGAGGTCATTATCAAGAACAAAATCAAGCAATTTTTTTAACTCCACCCTCATAGGACTTGAACCATTGTCTAAAGCTGTGACATTTTTAATAAGCAACATTCTGTATTAATGTTTAACAATTGGAAAAAAAAATATTTAAAAAGAAAAAAATAAAAAAATAATAAATTAACATTTAAGAAGTGTTAGGTTAGGCACACAACTTAAATGACCTTTACAAAGAACCTAAGCCTAATACAAGTTTAAATATAGGCAACTCATGCAGAGAATCATAACACCAGCTCAACACACTCATAAAAAATCTGAATCATTAATTTGATAAAACTAACTACTATTAAATTGTAGACATTATTACATGCAGATCACCAATGTCAAATACATTTTACATCAGGACACTTTATTGACTCTGGTTTTAATCCTATTTTTTAAGGGGAAAAATATAATACAAATAATTATCTAAGTACAGTATCTGATAAATTAATCAGCTTAAAATTGTATGTCACTATTTAGGATGTATAATATAAGAGAATAAACCAAATTCACAAAAAATATTCTTCCCTCTTCCTAGCTTCGTAGGGTTCATTAATTAGTGCATGTATACTTGCTTGAATGTGTAATACCAACATTAACCCTACCTCCGAGTGAAGTTCTCGCATTATTTCATACATGTCTAAAAGCACAAATAACTTTTCTGGTGATCTCTTGCTTCTTGCAATCGCTTCTCCGAAACTAAGTAGCACAGCAACACTACTTGAAGTAACTTCAGCAAAACATTGATCCCTGAGAGAATCCATGCCTTCAAACATTTGATTGCAGACTTTCCATTCCCCAGCAAATAGTAGTTTGACCTGTTCCAGCATTATTAGAAAGTTGGAAGACCAGATATACATATTGTAGGAATTCCAATCACAACTTACAGCAATCCTCATGAAATGAATCCAATTTCCAATCTTAGCCTCCAAAACCTCCCACTGCATCTTTTGAACATCATCTTTGCTAAGTTTTTCAACTCCTAATTTGCGAAGACTCTCTTCCAAAACTGAAGAACGGGTATCCCTGAATGAATTATAAAAATAATATCAAAACTCTAGGGAATGTTTGATTGCAGGAATACCTTTTATGGGATCAGAAAATGAATGGGATTATTGATACGATTGTGTGGGATAAGTTATACCATGAGCTTTGATGGGATAAAGAATTGAATAGAAGAAATGGGGATATTGCATTATGTTTAGTTAGGATGGGAAAAAAAAATTTATTGTTTACCGTTGGATGAAGGAACAAAATAATCCAGAGAGGCCTAATCCCCCAAATATCACAATTCCTATGGTATTACTTAAACCCCTATTTTTTCCCCTTTAATTCCTCATAGTATTAAAGTTATCTAGAGGGAAATAGTCCAGTGCACAGAACACCGGACCAAAAACATGTCATGTCGGGCCCACCTATTTTCCACATTTAATCCCCTTCTCCTTATACTGTGCACGAAACGCAAAACTAAAATTGAGGTGGGGTCAGGCTGCTCCTCCGCCCACTCATACCCCCCTTTGAATACTACAAACATACATATCATTTGCTATTGTATATAGGCCACCATACTGTACCTGCCACTATAACACAATTTATTGAAAAGCATAAAACATTATTTAATAATAAAAAAATAGTAATAACTTCCAGAAAAAGGAATAGTGCCGCATATTTTCTACAGGACAAAATTAGAGTGAAGAAAGATAAAATTCTTGTGCCAATGTCCTAACCAGTAAGTAAGTAGCGATGGACACATGGGACCAAGAGTGTCAGATTAGTAAGCGTCCAACAGACTAATCATCAATGGGCAACAAAGTATTTATTTGACTTGTGATTAATTCTTGCCACTTCTCATACCAAGAAGTTCTTGGTATGAGAAGTGTCTTATTTTAGCCACCAGCTGATTCCAATTAAAACAAGCTAATAAAATTTTACATACAAAACAATTAATCTATCCCATTGAACACTGATTTCTAGGATCACACCACATTAGATACAAATGGAGGTCTTTACCTGTATATTCTCAGCAAGTGCAGTTGGTGGCCAGCTTGAACCATTTGTTGGGCTAAATTATGAAGCAATGGTAGAATCCGTGGTGGTATGAGAGTAGGTGGCGTGTAAACAGCATTTTCCAGGTTATGGTTATGGTGTTCAGAGTGACTATTAGATGAATGATTCTTGGCACCAGAATCACCCTGGTTTCCTGGCGATTCTGATGATGGCCGTAGCGAACTGGGAAGGCACTCAAAAAGACGTTCAGGCTCCACAGGTTTGCTGAAAGCACAGGAAAGAAAATAAAATAAATGTAGAAAATTAGCTAGTGCATGAGATTGACATGATGCTTATATGTTTTAACTTTTAAGCATGACTTAGGCTTGATTTGCCAACCAGTTAAAAAAGTAATTTTTTTTTTCGAATATTTTTGTCTTTAGTGATTTTTTTTCTTAAATTTGTGTTAATTTTATTTTGATTTTCCAGTCCATCTAGTATAGAAGAATCTAAAAAAATAAATTAATTAACTAAAACATAAAAAGTTCAGTAAAGACAAAAAGAAAACAACAAAAAAGCCAAAAAGCAACTTGTTTTGGCTTTAGTGAACTTTTTTTAAAAAAATTATTATTATTATTTTTTCTTTTCCGCTTCGTCTAATCAAGTAAAATCTAAAAGTATAAAAACGTTTTTAAAAACAAAATTTAATTCACTAAAGACGAAAACAGTCAACAAAAAAGCCACTAAAAATCTAATACCAAACATCCATTGAAATGTACTTTATATTCATTATTTTATCTATTCACTCATTCCTTGAATTCCAGCATCATCTCTATGTATTATATGTAACAAGGATGGAATACATGTCTCTTGTATTGTTGCCACATGTATTACAAAATTCATATCAGTTGGTTTTGGTCAACATGGTGTAAAAATTTTGAATACCGACGCCGAACCAAGAATTAATTTCGTTGAATTATGGAAACCGAAGAAACCGATTATCTTACAAAAACTGAGGGAAATCATTTTTTTGGTCGGGACACTATGGACCATTCAGGTTCTCTTACACCCCTATTTTGCATGCATCTGTGTCAAATAAAGCGCATTCTATGGAAGAGTGAACTAATCCTTGTTGGCTGAAATGTTGAGGGAAAAACAAGACCAAGGTTTGCATGGATTGAAATAGTAAGGGAATACATAAAAGCATGTAGCATGACCAAGGTAATTACCCGAGACAGAGAAGAATGAAAAACAGGATTTAAGTCAAACCCAAATAGTTAGAACAATGCTATGCTGGAGTTGAGCAGCAAATGAAACAACAAATAAGGTAAAACCTCACTGTACTAGACACACAACATAGCAAAATCATTAAGAAAAAGTTTTAAAAAAAATTCAAAAAAAACACATTATTGACAAGGCAAGAATAATACCTGTAGGATGATAAGAGTTGCTTGAACTCCTCTTCCAACTTTGAGATAGCCTTAGCAAGTAAATTATTTGAATGGTTGACCACCCCATCACTACTCTTGAAGCTCTTGTTGTTGCTGAAAAAACGAATGTTCCTTCTTAACTGCTCGATTGCTTCAAGATAACTTTCCAGGTCTTCATGAGGACCTTTGAGTATTTTACTCTCTGCCTACATGTTGGAATAATACAAGTATCAACAACTGTAAAACTAGAAGCATGTATTACAGGACCCAGTATTTTTCTCACAAGCCAGTTTTAGGTCATCCAAATCATTTTGCATTAGTAAAGGCCCTCTTGTCAGCCTGACCTAAAATGATAATAGTTTTGCATGACCCAGGTAGACAGGTTTCTCTTTGGGTGGGACCTTAATTATCGATTATTTCCAGAATGGTTTTCTAGTCAAGTTAAAAACAAGTTTAGTTTGGTAATAAAGCTTTAAACCCTGCCCAACTCTTATTCACAACTGTAAAATCAACGCAATTGAGGAAAGACTCAATCACCTGGAAAAACAACAAAGGCATTTACTAAGTACCCATAACATTCTATTTCCTGTGTCAGAGTCAAATTTTCCTTCTTATTTGAAATATATTTTACACCAGTTTTTTCTAGCGGAGACTTTCAACTCCAACTTTAGTATGAAGCAAATAAGAAGTGCAGTGAACATGACACATCACTAAACAATCGAGTGTTGGCTAGGTCCCTATCAAGTAGCTAAGATATAAGGGTCAAGTGATTCAACACAATTTCATTTATAATGCAAATGCTTAGAAGCTGACAAAATAGTAGCTGCGAAATTCATAGAATTAGACAAAATTGTAGCCGCTCCCCAAATGTACCAAATAAGGTAATAAAGTGGTATCTTTTCAGAATAGGATAGCACAAATATTCTTGCTTGGGAGCTGATCAAAATTTGTTAGAAAAGCTCTATAATTAGAGGAAGACTGCAACCAATCTTCCTTTGAACTATAAATTGTCAAAGATCCTACGACTACTTTCCTTTCATTAGCTTTAGATAAATTCTACAGAAATTACGCTCTCTAACAATCTTCCAGAAATTATGCTCTCTAATAATCTTCCTATATCCTTAATACTTCCATTTTTCCATACACATTTAGAATAAATCACTAGCTACAATATAATCTAATTGACTAAGCTTCTCTAGAGGCTATAGAAAGTGAATAAAATAACAATTTCATACCAAAGTGAATAAAGTAACAGCAAACTTAAATTAAAAAATTAGAAATCAAAATCAAAATCAAAATCAAAATCAAAATCCACCTAATCTCAGCCGGTCAATATGAAAAATTCAAGCTAATTCGCATATATTGACAGTTCTATACCTGTCAGACAATCAAAATGAATTTTGAATAAATGTTGAACAATGTAGCAAATAACCCTAGCACTAAATAAATCACAGAAACAAGCATGAATAATTAGGTAATCTACAAAACAAACCTGGCGAGAAAGGTCAAATCGAGACAATATAACCTCTGCAGCCTTCAAGGTCTTATCAATGTTCTCGTGAGCTCTCCGAATCGCATGTGTTCTAATCTAGAAAACACAAATTTAAGAACAGTCATAAATGGTCAATGAAATTGAGAAAGTAAAACCCAAAACAGCCACAAGATCAAGCATTCGATATCAAGAAAGCAGGTCAGGGGGGAAAAAAAAACAAAACGTGTTTGGAACCCAAGAAAACGTGGGAAAAGAAAATAAATCAAAATTCAAAGTCTTAAATTTCCTCCCAATATAGGGTTGGGACAACATAGAAAATCCCACACGACTAAGCCTATTTGAACTAGAACGGGCACAAGATCAAGCATTCAGATGCCAAGAAAGTAGGTCAAAAACCCCTGTTTGGCAACTAAGAAAATAAAAGTCTAAAATTTCATCAGCATTAAGGACAAAGACAACATCGAAGAGCCGACTTTTTCATCTTTAGGAACAGAAATTCCGTACACGAAAAGAACCCAAGAAAAATGATCAAATCAAACCCAGATGTGTTTTACTGGAAACTAACCCATATACGTTTACCTACTAACGAATCATAAAAACATTAAACCAGATCCAAATACTGAACAGGTATTTTCTCGAGAAAGTTGCAGTAGTTTTTCTGGGGAACCAAACAGAAGGGGAAAGGTGAAAAAATCAAAACCCAGAAAAGGGGGAGAAGGAAAGAGGACCTGGGTTGGACGCATGGCGGTTTCGAGGGCGGAGAGACGGTGGTCAAAGGAGCCGAGAATGGAAGCAACTGTGTCTGTGATGGACTGACTCTTCTGAAGAGAGTCTCTCATCGTTGCTGCTCTTTCACTCAGCACATCCGAAACCACCGGAGTTGCTGTCGGAATCCCCATTGTTGTATCTCCTGAATTTTCTCTCTGCTGGAACTTCAATTCGAAGGAATTAGAGAGAGAGAGAGAGACTAGAGAGAGAAATAAAGAAGACGAGAAGAGAGAGAAAATGGGATGACGATGATGTCGCTTTTTTTTTTTCAATTAAAAATTTTAAAGAAAGATGTGGTCGCGTTTGTTGACGATTCTTGAGATTTTATTTTGACCGGGTAATGTAGTATGTCTTTAAGGCCTCGTTTGGCAAGAGGCTATTTTAGTCAATTAGCCAAAAAGTTATTAAATTAGTCAAAAAGCCAACAATTCATATCAAAAAGTCAAAGATTCTCTTTTCTCTCTACTTTTTGCACATCCTTTTGTAATTAGCCAAAAAGTCATCCCAAACATACAAGTTTTTTTTACCTACCTTTTTAGCCAAATAGCCAAAAAATTACTAAATTAGCCTGTTCCCAAACGAGGCCTTAGTCGTTAAATAAGTAAATTTAAGGGAGCTTTTTTGATAAATCTATTTTCTAAGAGTTTTATTTCATCCAATTTATATTCTTTTTGACTATTTCATTAGGTCTAATTTGAGATAAGAAGACCAAAATATCCTTTTCATCTACTTATGTTCCATTTAGTTCACATTATTTTCTTATATTTCAATATAAAAAAAAAAAGAGTTAGACTATCTCCAACCATTCACCAAATTCATTATCAAATTTAAATTTGGTGAAAAAGTTTACTTTTGTGCTCTAAGATCGTCTCCAACAGTGCATCAAACCATACATCAAATTTGAAATTTGATGAAAAAGTGACTTTTTCAAGCTCCAATGGTTTCATCAATTTGATATCAAAATGAGAATGGAACAAACATTTCATCAAACTGAGGACAAGCTCTGTATATCAGTATTTGACTGTGCTTGACCATTGGAGTGGGCCAACCGGTCAACCAACCGGATGTCCGGCCGGTTGATCCACCAATCGGCCGGTTAACCCACCGGTCGGCTGGTTCCCTTTCAAATAAGTAAGTTCAAACCAGTCAAGAAGATTCAAACAGGTAAAAATAAATAAATTTAACCTTACCGGTCGACCGGCTGGTCAACCCGCCGGTCGACCCTTCCCTTTTGGTGCACGATTGGAGCAAGTCATATCAGATTGAGAAAATTGACTTTTTTTTACTCAAATTTGGTGAAAATTTTGGTTCACCGTTGGAGATGCTCTAAGACCATCTCCAACGGCGCACCAAACCATGCGTCAGATTTGAAATTTGATGAAAAAGTGACTTTTTCAAGCTCCAATGATTTCACCAATTTGATATCAAAATGAAAATGGAACAAACACTTTATCAAACTGAGGACAAGCTCTATATATCAGTATTTCACTGTGCTTGACCATTGGAGTGGGCCAACCGGTCAACCAACCGGATGTCCGCCCGGTTGACCCACCAGTCGACCAGTTCCATTTCAAATAGGCAAGTTCAAACCGGTCAAAAAGGTTCAAACAGGTATAAAATAAATAAATTCAGCCTTACCGGTCGACCCGCCGGTCAACCCTTTTCTTTTGATGCACGGTTGGAGCAAGTCATATCAAATTGAGAAAATTGGCTTTTTTTTACTCAAATTTGGTAAAAAATTTGGTTCATCATTAGAGATGCTCTAACAGTTTCATCAAAACGGTATCAAATTGAGAACGCCCCGAAACTTTTCACCAAACTGAAGATCTCTAGTTCCTTTCGCCAATTTACTGTGTATAGTTGTTGAGTGTAGACCTACAGGACGACCGACTGGATGTCCTACCAGATGACCACTTCAAACAAAATTTTGTGAAAATTTTATAATAGGCGGTCAGCCCCCTGGTCAACCACCTTTATATCTTTTTCTTAATCTTCTCTTCATTATGTTTCTTGCTTGCTTTCTTCCCCAAGTGTTTCACCTCCAAAAGCAGCAGACTCTGACTTCAAGGGCAAACATCTGGGCTTGCATCCATTTTGAAGGACATGCTTAAAATAATTTGAGAGTCGAACACAAGAACATCATTCATAAGCTTCGAAAAGAAATCATTTCATCTTCCTGCAAAGAAGCCTAGATACAAAATCAAATTTATTCATTTCCCTCTAATTGTGATTATTTATCTAATTTATTCATCATTTCCACCAAAATTCAAAATATTGCTACTAATAATACATTTATTCAATCTCATATATTAAGATCCATGACATGAATTACCAAGAGAAACACACATATGAAGCAGTGGTGAGAGCTTGCTAATGGAGGAGGGGAAAAATTTCAGTGCCTTGTCCGATCGACCGGCTTGACGTCCCTACCCTTTTGATGCAAGCTACAGTGCACCCGTTGAAACAACTCATATCAGATTAAGAAAATCGTTATTTTTTTACTCAGATTTGATAAAAAAATACTGAACCGTTGGAAATACTCTCATGTAATAATTTATAATAATTTTTTGACTTTTTAATTAAAATATGTAATTCTTAAATGAAGGCTTTTTTTTTCTTCTTAATATTACAATTTGAAAAATTAATTGTAATAACAATACGTTCTTATCAATCCATAATTTATCTAGAAAAAAAATTAATAATTCAGATTTATTTTATATATAGATTTTATACTTTATCAATTCAATCTCCACCATACAAATACATTCAAAATAAATTCAGCATTCGTAAAGATCGATTGCTCGCATTTTTCTAATTGTAATGGGTAAGTTATATTTTGAGTGAATTACCTTTAATGGTAATAATATATAAATTTTTTTTTTATTTTGGTTACGACTAATTTTTTTTAGTTATAATTCATGAGATTTTTTATTATCTTATGTGTTGTTTGGTTATGACTTTATTTTTTTTAGTTATGACTCAAAAAGTATAAAGTTATGACATTTTTTTTTTAGTTATAAAATGCATAAGGTATACACCCTTTGAACAGTGTATATCATAGTCTTTCTCTCTCTCTCTCTCTCTCTCTCTCTCTCTATATATATATATATATATTCATATTTGCTCTCACTTCTCGTTGCAAACCCATCAAATTTCAATTTTCTCTCTAAGATTTATCAAGATCTACCAAGAATTTGAGAGGACTTTTTACATCGAATTGAAGAAGGCTACGTTTTCATTGATCGAATCGAGTTTTTCTCAACATCCATTTTTAGGGTTTTTCATCCTCTTCCTCTCCAAAGCTTGAGGTAGGGATTCTCTTAGAGTTATATATACATTTTTGCAAGTTTATGTTGATTTTGGAGCTTTCGCTTGTAGTATTGAACCTTGATTTTGGCTCATGAGTTCTTGATAATCTTAAAAGTGGGTTTTCCTCAATGTTTTCTAAAAATTTTTGAGGGTATGAACTATATTGTTAATGGGGGAGTTGCCTTGGGAAAATCCTTTCAAAAGTGAGAAAAAAAAAAAACCTAGTTTTGTGAAAACCCTAGAAATTGGGGTTTTATTTTGGAAAAATGATAAGATGTTATGAAATCTTTGGTTGTCTAGTATCATGATGTATATGTGATTGGGATATTCCTATGATTATGTGTAAGAAGGAAGTTCCATGGAAAGAAAATGAGAAATGGTTAAATTGAAACTTGTTGTATAGCACATTATTGGTTGGTCCTGAAATGACCAAGTGGAAGATAGATATTTAGTTGTGGAGAATACATGAATGTTGAGATTGTTAAGTCACCTTTTAAAGTTATATTATGATGGTTAATTTATGAAAAATACTTGAAGGTTAATATTGTATTACTTTATCTCTTATAATGTATTATGATATTGCATTGATAAGAGATGTGGAATTTGATCACAATAGAGGATTTTGTGGCTGAATCGAGAATTTTCAAGGCATTGATATAGAAATATATAGCATTGGCATTGTTGAAATGTTTAAATGGAACCATATTATTGCATTGGGCATTTGCATATTCATTCCTTTTGTCATTGACATAATTGATTTTGAACATTGCTTGGAAAAAGATACTGTTTTGAGAAAGGAAATTGTTTTGTGAAACAAGATCATATTGATTTGTTTTGGGGTAAATATGTTGGAAAGTCCGGATAGAGGGTGTAGTTGGTATTGGTTAAGTTGGTCTGAGTAAAAGACCGAAAACACGCGCAGAGGAAGTACCATGTGCCTTCCGATTAGCTACCGGTAAAATGGGGATTGGTAGTGCTTATTATACCTACTTGCAGACACCAACTTAGGGATTACCTGAGTCGTATTTACTGCTCCATTGAATTAAATTGAAATTATTAAATTGTCAAATTTTTAAGATTGCATTGTGCACAAAGTTTTCAAAAGAGAAAGAGATATGTTTTTTAACATGGTTTGACATATGCATTCATCCCATGAGATTGTATAAAATGTATATACTTTGTTAAGGTTTTCCTATTGGGCTTTGTGCCACCCCTATGGGATTTTGTGTAGGAAAGGATGTGGTGATCCCGCCAAGTTAGAGACGTGGTGATATGTTTTGAGAGCACAAAGCTCTTTTCTTTTGTTGTAATTACTTTTAACAAACCAAGGGCATATTGTGTATAGGTTTGCAACCACTTTTGTGTAACTGAGCTTAAGTCTTGAAATTTGTAACCCTTGAGGGCATTCATTTGTACTTGACTTGTTATACCACATGCTATAGATTCATATACTAGAGATGTTGAATGTATATTTGCATATGGAATACCTTTTGTAAATCTTTTAATGATTAATTAATACAAATGTTGGAGATTTGTCGATGATGTTAATATTGAAAACTTACTTATGCTTACATTTACCAATGAGAGTTGATGAATCTGTATTGTGTAAATTTTTTGGGCGTGACATATATTAACATCACATACATATGTTATTATTTATAAATACATATAGATACATACATATGTTCAACATTACATGTAGATATTCAAGACAAAAGGTTCAAAAAAAGATTAAGAAAGGAAGAGATATTCAAACATTTATTTATATGTAAATATACCAATTCTCAATGATAGAAAAGAGACAAAGTATAAAATTAACCTCTTCTAAAATTCATGTTACATTAGATTGCTCGATTGTGTAAGATTTTGCCTTCTTCTAAAATACTTCCCATGTTGAATTGGTATATATATTTTAGGGTTTTCAAAATTCTATGATTTTTAAT